GCAGGTGTCGGCAATCAATTTTCATAGAGGCCTGTGAGCCTTCAACAGAGGGTATTTGGAGTTACAAGAAGGGCGGCTGGCGCCCTTAACAAGTGGGGCAGGGCCTTGCGAGGTGTTGACGATTCAGGGCCATCTGCTTGAAGGGGGCTACCTATACTGTAACACGGCTTAGGGGGGGTTTTGGGCCTTGCGGTTTTAGCGGTACAATTTACGGAGTTGGATTTAGTTTATTGCATTTAGGGTCTTGTTCAGGACTGCTGAGGAACATGGTTCCTGGTTTGCTTATACAGGCAAAATGATGTAAAATTACATGTAAGGTTTCATGTTCACGACATGATGTGCTAAATTGCTGGTACCAGAATCCCCCTGCTTCTGCCTTCGCGCCGGTGCCTCTCCACCACCATATCCTCGGCTTGTAGACAGGAGACCCTGTCATCGCTGAAGAAAGATATGGCACCTTCAATATCAGTACAACTTGTGTGTGTGCGTGTGTGTGTTTTATGCATAATATGTGTATAATACATGTGCATGTAATTTTATACATGTACCTAGTGTGTGTATACTTGTATATGTACATGTAGATGCATATGTACATGTGGAGCTTTGTTCGTATGCGTGCGTACATATGCGTGCTAAAACCTTGAGCCTGAACACCCCCCCCCCTCTCCGCCCCGTCGCTCTGCCCTGAAAGTACGAACCCAGACCCGGCCTAGATGTGGGATGGTAGCACTTGTTTTGGCGACATTGTGTTCTGAGCATAGAATCTAACATAGCTCTGCCCTCACAAGAGGACGGTGCTACTGCTCAGGGTCTCGGTAAGGGCTCCAGCCACCTATCTTCGGGAAGCCTACAAGGAAAATGAAAGGGTTTTTGGAGATTCAGCTGGTTCCAGGGTGCACGGTTTAGGTTTGGAGGGGTTAGGGCGGGTTGCCTTGAGGCTTCCAGGACTCAGATTGGCCCAAAGACGGCCATGCAGGCTGTTGGAGTGACCCTAAACGCTAGGATGTCGACTCCGCGGCAAAACTCGGCTTTCTAGGCCTGATGGCGAAATGCGGGCTTCACGTTTTAAATGGTTGCTTATATGTTTCGGGTTCTTTTTGTGCGCACGGGTACTCCTAACAGGCGTTTCTTCAAACGAACCTGAAGATCAACCCCGTCTTTGGGTTCTGACGCATGAACCTGAGTCAAGTTTTGGTTCAAAAAGAACCACAGTCTCCGAGACAGCCGGGATCGACAGCTGAGCAGACAAAAAGCGCGTGCTTGCAAACTGGAGGCTGTTGGATATTCAGCTTTTCGGGTTTAGGGCTTAGGGTTTCGACAATCTTCTAGTGCCCAGCTTCTGTTATGCTACCATTATAGAATTGGGTCCCAAGAGACCATCCATGTGACGGTTCTGGGGACCCAGTTTGACCCAATTCCCGTATAATAATATCGACTTTCGAGCTTAGCCAGCATGAAGAGTGCTTGGAAGGGGTGAGATCCTGTCTGCCAGGGCTAAGCTGTACAACTTCCGCTGCTACGCATCCGGGTTGATAAAGAAATGAGGAGCATCCCCATGCTGACATGTGCACGTGCAAATCTGTGTTGAAGTCAGATATAGTGCTACTCTATTGCCACTACCACTACTTCTGCTACTACTACTACTACCACCACTACCACTACCACTACCACTACCACTACCACTACCACTACCACTACTACCACTACTACCACTACTACCACTACTACCACCACTACTACTTCTGCTACTACTACTACTACTACTACTACCACCACCACGACTACTACTACTACTCCACCACGACTACTACTACTACTACTACATTCTACTACTACTAGTACTCCTACTTGTGTGGTTGATGATATAAAGCCAGCATTGCCTTTAATAAGGATTATGCCATAATTCCCATAGTTTAGGGTCCTTAAAGTAATGCAGGTTTTATTCACCAACAGTACTACTACTGCTACCAGTTTTACCACTGCTAGGACGGCGACTGCTACTTCTAGGACGATGACTACTACTACTGCTGCTGCTGCAGACACTGCTACTGCTACTGGTCTTTGTTGATCTAGGAATCTTGACCAGAGACCTGATACTGACAACCGATTAGGGTTTAGGGTTTAGGGTTCTAAGTTATTGAGAACATGATCATTCCTGCAGTGCTGCTCGACCAACCTACCGGTACAAGCCGGTAAGTTAAACCGAAGACCGTCTGATTCCAAAGCCCTCAACCCTCGAAGCCCTAAAGCCTTAAACGCCTAAACCGTGAGCTTCACAGTTCTTTCCATCCACCCGTTGCAATGATCCGATCCTGAGGACCTAGCGACGCGGTATGAGGACGGCATGCGCATTGCGAGGGCCCTGGAACTCAACGCGATGCAGGTTGCTCAGGTACTCCTGAAAAGAGTCGATAAGGCCGCTGTGAACCTTACACGGATGCCAGAGCTGAGCCATTTTAGTGCTGGTGAGCCGAACGGCCCTGGTGGAGAACCCTGGCCGCTGGAGGATCAGCTGACTCTGACAGTTCGCGGGCCCTTGGTTCACGGCGATCCTTTGGGGTACTTGGAATACGTTTTTGGGGTTACTATAGTCCAAATAGTCCAAAAAGGAGCGGCTAAGGAGATATTTTTTGCAAGGGTACCAAGTTCAGTAAAGGATCATGGCGTGCAAGAGACCGACATCGATGAAGACTACCTCATTAGGCTGGGAAGTGGCTGGCTAGGTTTCAGGGTTTCCACAAAGCGCACAGGGTGTCGAGAAGTCTTGGGTAGAGGTTTCTCGCATTCTCAGTCAAGCAATGAAGGCACCACTGCCATCCGGACATGTTTGCCGGTCGCTTAATGTCAGCACCCTGAACCCTAAGAGATCTGTTCAGTATTCCGGGGAAAAAACTGCCTTCCGGAGTGAAGGGGGGGTCATCACCCTAAACCTCAACCCTACCCTAAAAACCCTAACAACCCTAAACCCTACACCCTAAACCCTAAAACCCCTAAGCCCTAAACCCTAGACCCTAAACCGTAACCTTCTATGACCCTAGACCCTAAACAAGAACCCTTGACATGGCACAGGTGGATGGCTCGAAACGACTCGGAACACCGGACAGTGGCTAGGAGTGATCTGTGGGCTTCGAGTTTAGGGTTTAGGTTTGAGGTTTAGGACTGCTGAAGGAATTTTGGAAAGTCCCCAGAGAGCCCAATACCCCTTAAATAAGGAAGATGCCTTAAATTATAGGGGCACTTAATATTATGATTTAAGGTTTATTCCTTAATTAAGGGGTATTGGGCTCTTTGGGTCGTCAAGTTGCTTCGAGCTAGAAGATGAGGCAGGGCATTCGAGTCTTGTCGGCTACTTGTTTATGTTCCGTTAAACCCTAGACCCTAAATTCTAAACCGTAGTTCCGTTTTTGTCTTTTGTCCGCGGGGTGTGTGGTCGTTGCGTTTAAGACTCTCAAGTATCTTGTGATCTTGGGTCTGCGTTGGGTTCCCTATGTCCTAGGTAGTATTGGGGAGACTTAAAGGGGGACCCTTCTGAACCCTACTTATGGCTCTCTTAAAGGGGTTATTGAGAGGGTCTATATCCCCAAGGGTCCCCCTATGCCTAACTCCTACTATGTTGGGAATCCTGAAACACGCTTTAGAGATACACATAGTTGCGCAGGAGTCGGCTGGAGTTCGAAAGGTTAAGGGCTTTAGGGGATATATCATAGATTATCCGAAATCCCTATAACCCCAAGCCCTAAACCCTAAACAAACCCGAACTCCCAACTCTGACTCCTACATCCCAAACTCCTCTTTCGCGGCTGCAGGAGTTTGGGGTTTGGGGTTGAGGGTGTCCTTGATGTCCTGAGTTCGGTGGGCTCAGTTTTTTCAGGTTCTTACTTGCAGCAGAGACTCTAAGGCCCATTGATGCAGGATTTTGCTTTAGGGCTTAGGGTTTAGGGCTTAGGGCTTAGGGTTTAGGGCTTAGGGTTTAGGAGTTTAGGGCTTAGGGTTTAGGGTTTAGGGCTTGGGGTTGAGGGCTTAGGGCTTTCATTCTGCAATTTCTGGTATCCCCCTTGATTGATGTGAAGAGTCTTGTGATCCTGCTCGTCTGGTGCACATGGAATACTTGAAAGTTCCGATGCTTCTCTTGATACACGCACAAACACACAAACAAGCAAGCAAGCAAACAAACAAGCAAGCAAGCACTCAAGCAAGCAAGCAAGCACACAAGCAAGCAAGCAAGCAAGCAAGCAAGCAAGCAAGCAAGCAAGCAAGCAAGCAAGCAAGCACACAAGCAAGCAAACAAACAAACAAGCAAGCAAACAAACAACCAAGCAAGCAAACAAACAACCAAGCAAGCAAACAATCAAACAAACAAGCAAGCAAACAAACACATAGGAAAACACACATATACATATGTGTACATGTGTTTGTTTATGTATGTTTGCATCGAACAGTTTTTACATCTGTGTACATAAAAACATATCTAAACACACAGTAATATGCACTGCATACCCGATTCCTGCAACCCTAAAACCCCAAAACATACCCTAAAACCGTAAACCCTAAAACCCTAAACCCCTAAAACATAAACCCTAAAACCCTAAACCCTAAACCCTAAACCCTAGAACCACTAAAACTCTAAACCCTAATCCCTAA